CAATGGCCAACATTTAGCATATGCAAAAGTATTTGTGATTTGTTTTATATCACTGCTCTTGCTTCAAGGTTTTCATTTGTCATTAAATATGGCCCTTTAACAAACTTCAGGAGGGTTTAACAGCTGAGGAGAGAGCAAAGAAGGAGCCTGATGACTGGGAGCGTATGCAGGTCTTTCTATTTGTACCTGAAGTTGATTTTGGTTACCTTGCACTTTGCAGTGCATAGGTTTTGCGCACATTATTGACTTCTTGCCTATGAAACAGATGACGGATGCTCGTTGCTCAAGATGCTCTGAGTTCAAGGTGGGAGTTAGGGACATCATTCAAGCAGGACATGGTGCTCGTTATCAGGTTGATGCATTTATAAATTCTGGATGAGTGCATGAATCATGGAAAATTCTGCTTCTTCAATAGGTCAAATTTGTTATTTAAAATCATTTTTATTCATCACTCTTTATAGGGCCTAATATATAATATGATATGAAATGGAGAGGCTAGTGGCAATTACTTTTGCCTCTACATTTTGCTTTTTAAATTGGGATAATACACTGGTGGAAGCAATGCTTCATAATGGCTAATGTTTTCGGAATAAGTCTGGTGTCCAGCACTCCTGCTCCGATCAAAACACCAAAAATAAAAAAACAAGAAAGGAAAATAAAATGTTTCTGATGTCATACCAGTTCAGGATTAGGGTTGATTTAAGTAATCTGAAAGTCATGCCCACTGTCTGTAAGGCAAGCATCAACTATGGCGGGGGATTGTAGCTTCTCCCTTTGGAATTCCAACCCACTTTCCCCCTTTAAATTGTAATATTTGGATGTTACATGTGGATCAAAGCTGATGATCCCCTAGTTGCACCAATGCGATCCTTACATTAGTTGTTCTGTTTGGTTTCTACTTTTGCCTCATGTTGCCAGTGGTCATAGCGTCCGCCTTTGGAGGTTGCTATTCAAAGTTTGAGATTTCCTGTGAATTCTAACACCTCTTGAGTCCCTTAAGTCTTGTTATTTTATTTGTACTCTCTGACTAAAATGGGTGGTAATGACCAGCTCATATGTGTGAGTTAAAGCAAGCAGATGCTTATAGTGGATTATGACAACATTTTTATGCTTATATGTAGAGATAATGCAAAGAATTTTTTTTCTGCTGCATGAAATGTTAAAACTGATTATTATTCATGTTGGACGATGTTAATATTCGAACCCAGACAAGTAACATGATGGATGGAAAATGCCCTAATGATGATTTCATTAAGAAAGTGTCATTGAGTACTTGTAGATTAGATATTTGATTATTTGTTTTTATTAAGTTATGCAGTGTGTTTCAAGGGTAATTTAGATTGTGACAGAGCTGTAGCATTTGTTTCATTGTTGCAACTGGCATTTTACTCACTACATTTTTGCTTTCAGCTGGAGTGTATTGCCTGTGGCCATTCGTGGTATGCCGCTCGGGATGCGGTTTCGATGCTCACAATTGATGCACCTAGTTCTAACAAGAACGTGGGTACAGCTCCATTAGCCACTGCCAAATTTGAAGATGTTGAGAAGAAGCTGGTGAGTCCTCGTGAATCTGACAAGGCAGCAGCCAAGGACACTTTGAAAAAAACAACTGAAGCATTTATGCCAGTCTTGGATGCACAAAGATCATTTAGTAAGTCTAGAAAGGAAGAAAATTCAGAATCAACAAAGAAAGCTGAGTAGAAATGTTGGGCAGCCTTCATAGTTTTGTGTTTAGAAAGGTAGGTTTATCAATTTTCTTGGAAATTCTGCTTAGTAGTAGACTTGTACAGAACTTAGTATACCCATGCATATGCTAATCGAGGGTTTTCCCCAACTCGACGGCAGTTTTAACCAAGTTAAATATGCTTCTTCATATAGGATATACCCCTCCGCCCCGAGGGTTTAGCGTAGATAGTTTTAACATGCTCAAGAGCTGAAATTCTGTATCTGCTGTAGACGCTCCAAATTAGAATAGACTGACCGGATGTCAGAATATAGATGAGAATTGATGTCACTAAGTTCCAGACAAGTAATGGAGATGGCCTTCTACCTGTTTTCTTTGTTCTGTTAATGAATTTTGTTGCTTTCGAAGTTGCTTGTTTTTGGTTTCTTACAATGGGATATTCTAACTACTCTAATCAATGATCACTGTCCTGACTAGCTGGCCTAAACTGAGATATGCATGTTTCTGTGTATTTATTTGTGTAACTTATGATGTGCCCGTGTCTATTGATGATTGGTTTTAAGACAGACATGCTGTGGCTGTGGGTCATTGCATATTTCTGATATCATTTGCATTAAATATACGCGGTTGGTATTTGGTACACTTGTTGAAGATGAAAAATGAAAAGTGAAGAAAATATTAAGAATAATACTAATTGTAGTTAGTATCTGACAGAGGTGGGTGGAGCTCAAATGCATCTTGGATTGGATTTTTGGTAGCTACTTGTTATTAATAGTAGAGCTCATTGTAGCCTAACCTTAATGAGAGTTACCAATAGTAGCAGGTTTTAGTTGAAATTGTAATGAAGTACTTTAAAGGCTTTCTCTCACCTCTCATGACCTGCGGTTGTGAGATTTATTTCTTACTTTTTACTTTTTCCTCATGAGAGTTACCACTTACCACAATCTATTGGCTAAAAGGCTGACCTAGGAAATACAAATTTTGAGATGTTTATGTTTTTAGAAAAAAATTATTTACTTCAGTATAAAATAAGGGAGATTTACCATTATATTCAATATATGAGCTCAAATTATAAAAATATAAAATCAGATTTTTTTTGTTTTTAATAATTGGGGTGTTTTTAAGTTGTTTTGAGTTTGAGTTTTTAAAAATATGGCTACAAAACAAGTTTTCTTTGTTTTGGACTCAAATTTTGTTTTTGAGTTTAAAAAGTTAGATTCAGGTTGAATATCAAACATGCATTTATCTTTTCATCAGAGTTCGAAAATAGGAGAAGTTCAAAATGTTAGTTATACTTCTGAATTGTGAGGTTAAAAGGATTTTTTTTTAATTTTTTTTTTTTATAAATGTAATCTTTTGAATTTTGAATTTTTATTAATCATGTAGAGTTTTAGGATAAATATGTTCTAATTGGTTAAGATAATTATTTACCAATTAACATTTAATTTAGTGATATTTCTTTTTCAATATTTGAGGAAGTCTCAAATTTACTCATTTATAGTAGAAGGAAAAATATGTAATATTTGCTTCAACCAAGGAAAGTTCTCAACAAAACAGAACAAAATCAAGAAAATCTCGTAATCACCTTCATTTGAGCGATCTGAAATCAAGGCTTTTTGGTCACATGAATTTTCCATCGGATTTACTATTTACAGTTTCACTGCCACCTTCGGTATAGTAATTAGTAATTACCAAGCACCAATTTAAAATTAAAAGAGAAAAACAAGAAAAAAAGAAAAGAAAATTAGGGTTACGTGACGCGAGTCCAAGATTCCGTGGGTGTGATGTGACCGACCGACTGCTTCAGCTTTGTCTCCTCCTGCCTAATCCAATCACATGAACACACTTCTACCATTTTCTGCCTTCGCTCTTCTTTCATGCTTTTCCATTCCAACAGTACAAATGTACGAAACTGCCCACCCCCATCATTTTCATTTCATCAAAACACAATAAAGAAAGAAACCAGGAATGTTTCTTTATTTTTGTATTTATATTTATACAAATTCACCCTATGTAAGTTAAGTATCATTGCAAGCAAAACAAAATCCATCTACTTCTTACTATGAATTAATGTTGATTGAGTTGAGTTGAGTTATTAGGGTTAGACATGAAATCTGTGTCTCATTCTCGTATCGTCTGTTGCTATTAATTATTTTTTTATCTTTAACCTAATTGACAGTATATCAACAACTAATCTTTTTCGTGTTGACTTTGTGGTTATTCCCTCCTTTTTCCATCCCCTCATTTCTCTCATTTTCCTCAAATATGTAAAATAATTTCAACACAATCTTACCCTTAATATTTAGGGAGTTTCACTAAAACACTCAAAATAGAGGTTGAAATTATAAAAAAACCCAACACCAAAAACACTTTATAAACACACCCAAAACCCATCATTACACACACTCAAAACCCATTTATAAACACACCCAAAAAGTTGACTTTGGGGTTGATTGTGGGTGTGTTTCTGTGTTTAAATAGTGCTTGAATTTTTTTATAAATACATGTCTAGGATTGGGTTTATTTATAAATTTGTATAATATTTATGGCAAATAAGTTATATAAATGGCTAAGATGAAAACGAGTCACACAATAGAGTGCATTCTTGTCATCCATCGGGACACTAATATTTTGAGAGTTATGAGGAGTTTAGAGTAATATTAGTAGGGCAAGATCTGAATTTCACTACATTAATTTAATGATTTGATAATTAATTATGGGGAACCGTCAGATTAATTGTGGGATTCCAGTCCTTGATATTTGCAATTTCCCAAACCATAAGATAATAATTTGTGACAGAGCTAAAGTACACCAACCTTATCAAAACGCCAAAAATACCCTCAAATAAAACCATACCACTGGTCCACAAAATGGCACTATCGTCTTTTTATAACATGGGTGCCCTCTTCAAGGCTGCCACATCACTGGTCTAAGTGTACATACAATTTATTTTAAAAAAAACCAAAAAAGAAAAGAAAAACAGCATATGATGACTTGAAGGGCATGGCTTTTAGTAGACATGAACAGAGACTTAGCAGCTCTTTGTCTCTCAATGCAACTCTCTTGCTTGTTTACACTCTTCATCTTGCTTGTGTTGTGTGACTGAGTGAGTGAGAGAGACTTGTGTTTGTGCAGTCTCACTCTTTCTTGTTTTCTCTCTCTTTATCATCTCAGGCATGCTTTCTCTCTCTTACATTGTCTCACCTCATCATCTTCTTTTTCTCTCTCTAGACTTCACTTTTTGTGTCTATCCTGCTTTACTGCTCTTGGCCTTGTTCTGATTAATTTCATTTTTTCCCCTTTAGCTTTTTCGGACACTTGCGGAATTTTAAGCAGGCTTTGGGGTCACAGTTTGCTGTTCCTTGACATTGAGTTTTGGGATTGTTTTTGTTCTCTTCAAGACTTAGCGAGACTTTCAGTCCAAGAGATTGAAGAACATGATTGCATCTGCTGGTAGCTTGTTGGGTTTTCCTTTTGCTTCACTTATCTGAGATCTGGTGGGGTAAGGCCATTTTCTACAAGCATTCTTTTTTGGTTGGCTTGAAATGCAAGTGAAAATACAGCAAAGTACAGCAAGTTGTTTTCTTTTCTGTTTTTTTGGTTTTTTTAAAGGAGAATATGTAGCTTTTAGCTGTATTACTTTACTCATTTTTGGGTACTTTTATAGTCAATAAGATTTCCTGTGTGCTTTTGGGTTATGGTTTTCCATTTTCATAGAGATCAAGGTTCTGGTGTTTTGAGGTTTATGTGATCTCAAAGTTTGGAATCATTGATGGGTTTAATGCCTTTTCAAACAATGGTTTTTGCCAAGGTGAGGATTTTATAACTATTTTTTTTCAAGAATAGAAGACTCCAGATAATTTTTCTCCAGTTGAGCGTATGAGTTTATAGCTGCTGCAAATTAGGATATCTATTACAGCAGATAGAAATGCATTGCCATCAGTATATCTGTGTAAGCCATTTGCTCTAAAATCTCGTTTTATGCTTATTTGTGATTTGTTCTGTTCTTATCAAGATTTGCAGAAGCATGTTCCTTTTCAATTGTCTGTTCCTGAGCATGAGAATGGATGAAAGTTGACCTTTATCTCAAGGGGGTAGTTTGGCATTTATTGCATTGTATTTAGACAAGTTTATTTTGGCATATGAAATGCAATACCTGCCAATGGTTTCAATTTTGCTAGCAGCTGAATGCTTTTACCTTGGTGTATTTGTACAACGTATTGCTTGCCTATTTTGGTGAAAGAATTTTAGTGCAAGAATTGTTTTGATTTCTAGCCGTATTGTCAGAGTTAATTTCTATTTTATTGTAATAGATTGCTTGTGCATAGCTTTTGCTCCTGCAGATCATGATCTCTATCTTTTTGTTTCCATGTTTGTTGCAGAGTTTCAGATCTATCAATGGGACTAGAGATGGACTTCGATCGAAATCACACAGTGGGTCTGAGTCCTAACACTGTTCTCCCAACTCATCGGCGTCATTCCTTTGTTGAAAAGAGGAGCACAAAAGGAAAATCGAAAAGGAAAGAGGATTTATTGAGCATAAAGGAGGATTTTGTTGAAATCAGCTTTCATCGCTATCGTAGCTCCTCTGGTAAAAGTGTTCCATTTAGACCTGTTGAGCAGGAAGTTAACTCAGACCTTAAACGTGGTTCTATATATCAAAGCTCCAAAGAGGTGAGGAAAATTAAGAAAATGGGCACTGTTGATGGAAGGAGAAAGAACGAAATGCCTCGAAGTAGTGATACTGCTTTCTCATACCGAATTGTTGATTCGATGTGTAGTTCAGATGAGGAAAGCTCACAGAATAGGTCTTCACTAATATCTTTGAAATCAGACTTGAATACACCATCTGGTGGTCGGCCTCATGTTGAACCATGTTCATCAGATAGTTTGATTGATGTTTGTCTGGATCCAGATAACAGGGAAAAGCACTCTGCTGAAGCTTTAGGAGAATATTCAGTGGATCTGAAACTAAGAAGTGACCCTGTTGCTGGACCTCTAAACAACGGTAATGAACTTCTTGAAAGAGACCAAGTTCTCACATTGCACAAGTCATTTTCTGCTAAGGTGGAAATGCTTCATTCTCCTTCACCATTAGAGAGTGCTCGGTCATCGAGGGTCAGCTCAAAGGTCAGGTTCAGCCCTATCAGAAGGATGTTCGATCCTTTCATGAAGTCCAAGTCTTTGCGAAGTCCAAGTTATGCAGTGGAACCTGGCAGAGCTAAAACTACTGAGACAGAAAACATGACAAGAAACCGGACATATCAGAAGTCTTTGTTGCCAGTCTTCTCAAATGCAGCACAGAATCCAGACTGTGATCCTCAGTCTATCAAACGAGATAACCACCAATCTCTTGTTGCATGTTCACCAGTTCACCTACATGGCCATCTCAAGTTACAAAATAAACACGGAACGCCATTTTTTGAGTTCTCATTGAAGTGCTCCGAAGATGTCTTTGTGGCCAGGACATGGAAAGCAGATAATGCTATTAATTGGGTGTATACTTTTCACTCCATTGGAAGTAGAAAGAAGAGCAATGCCAGTGGTTGGGGATTGTATGGTAGTGACAGAGAATCTTCAATGGTGGGACAGATGCAAGTTTCCTGTTATCTATGTTCAGAACTAAAAGATGGAGTTTTCGACAATTCCATGGTGACAGAGTTTGTGTTGTATGATGTCTCTCATGCAAGGCAAACTTTTGCAGCACGAGAAAACTCTAAATGTACCGTTGATGATGTTAAAACTCCAAAAGGTTCTAATCCGGGCACAGTGGGGGAAACTTTGAAGTTGGATGAGTCTGGTCCTACTAAAGTTAAACTTGAACAAAAACATGCTTCAGACAAGAGTGATTTTGATTCTTCAGCCTGGGCGTCTGCCAATTTGCATCCAAACCTTGAAATTGCAGCCATTGTTATGCAAGTCCCCTTTGAAAAGAGAGAAAGCTTGAAATACAAGAGAGAGGATAAGACAAGTGATAAAGCCCATGAAAACCTACTTAATCTCTCTATGGTCGAACAGAAGAAGGATGCCCCTGATAGCCGAGGTCCAGGAAATGTGAAGGTGGTAATTCCAGCCGGAAACCATGGTATGCCGAGTGATGAAAGCAAAGGACCTTCGTCATTACTAGATCGATGGAGGCTGGGTGGAGGCTGCGACTGTGGTGGCTGGGACATGTCCTGTCCACTTATTGTCTTAAGCAATCCCCACACTCAATGTGCTGATAATCAACTATTGGTGGAGAATCAACAGCCCTTGGAACTTTTTGTTCAGGTAATATTCTTTGATGTTGGAGAAAATTTATGACCATAGCTTGGACGGATGGAGTCCTTTTGCTAAAATTTGGGATTATAAAGCCATCTGATGATGTTAGGATTCAGGAAGACTAGATGATGTCTGCATTCAAATAAGCCATCTGATGTCATCCTAGTTGACTTGCTGTTACTTTCATTCTTCATTCCTTTTGTTCATGTTTGGTAACAGATATATAGGGCATCTCATAAGCTATTGCTTGATTTTGATTTGTTTGCAGGGATCAAAGGAGAAAGCACCAGCATTGACCATGACAATGGTCGAAGAGGGACAGTATACAGTTGATTTTCATGCACAGTTATCCACATTACAAGCATTTTCTATTTGTGTTGCTATTCTACATGGTACAGAAACATCTGCAGCGGCGGGGCAGGAGAGAAACAAACAGTTTTCACAGTGCAATTCATTGAAAGTGCTAATTGAGGAAGAAGTAAAGTACTTAATTGAAGCAGTCACAGCAGGGGAGAAGAAGGAAGTAGCTAAGAGGGTAAAGAAAATCCAACCATCTTTTGTGCTCAACCCACCCTTCTCTCCAATTGCACGAGTATAGATTTCAAGCAGCATTGATGGTTTTATCCGGAGAATCCCACAATGGGCTTAGAGACCCCAAACGTTTACCAGAATGAATGGAAGGGCATCAGCAGCAGATGACTGAAATAACATTCCACTGGTACTGAGGGTTGTCGGTGGGCAGTCTGCTCAATTAGGCAAAAAGGGCTGCCTCAAACGGTTACAGACTTTGTAAAACTGCCAAGTCTTTGCCATTGCCTGAGGGTTATTGCCACAGGGTCTAGCTCATTGATAATGTATCGTTCAACTTGTTTTTCGATGTCTGTAATCGCAGTGTCAACAGAATACAACACTGTCCATATTGAAATCTGTAGGGAAGGGGAAAATAGTAACCATATGAGAATTGGGAGATAACAGTCTCTCTATTTTGCATTTTTTTTTCCCTTTCATTTGTATTTTAGAAGAAGGGTAGCTGGGGGACTACATTCTTAAAATGGTTCCATGATGCTCTCTCACCATTACTGTATATGGAGCCAGAAGACAAGAACTTTCTTAGCAAATAATTACCTCAAACAATTTTGAATAAATTGTTCACTTTCTTTCAATTGAATTGTCAATGTCACTGGCATTTTTTTTTCTTTTATACAAAGCGATATTTTGGGGAGGGAGGAATTGAATCTAGAATCTAGGATATAGTAAGAGTAAATGCTTTTAATCACTTGAGCTACAAGCCCTTCCTATATTATCACTGACTTGAAGCTAAATAAAAAAGGAAAAGGATTGCCACCTGATCGTTGCAATGTTGTGCTTGTGAGTTGTTATTTTCTCTTCATTAGTAGCCGTACCACAACTGGACTAAACTAAACTCTCTCGCGGGAAATATAAGAAAGGGAAACCGCGTGTCGTTTTCAAATGCGGCTAAACGTCAAAAAAATGCGCCGTTGCCGGGGATCGAACCCGGGTCACCCGCGTGACAGGCGGGAATACTTACCACTATACTACAACGACTTTGTTGATAGTAAAATACAGTTGACTTATTAATATTACTTCTTACGTGCAATAAGAAAAAGACCCAACTGAGATTAAATTATCAAAAAGTTAGTTAAACAATTTCGCCTCAATGCGTTCACTTAAGAAAAAATTCAGTTCAAATAAAGGCACTGGGAGATGTGTGAAATAACTCATTTTAATACATGGCAAATTATTTTGACTCGAATTTGCAAGTCTCTACTATTTTAACTCTTGTTGTATGTGAAAGGACTCCAATATCTTAAACGGTCCAACACATATGTTTATATAGAAAGGATTGAATAAAGGGTATTTGTATCAAAAAAATGATTGAAGTGTTGGAATAGTTTAACTTCAGGTTCAATAGCATTTATTTTACATGGGGTCATTTGATAAATAAAGAAATGATGTTAGAAGAGGTCTCAAGTTCGAATCTCGTCTCTCTATCGATAATAAGAAAAGAAAAATGAGATCATTTGATGAAATTCCCCTATAGTGATGGTAATGAAAGTCCTACCTAAAGATTACTTGGAGGGAATATTACCAATTTGACTAAGCTGACTGTCTCCTATTGGACCAATGATTCTGTAACATAATTTAGCTGATATCATATTGTTTGCCCGTTTTGCGTTTACTCCTGTGATGGAAGGGCAAAGTTCCCCACTGCCTTGAGAACCATAGACTGGTCAACAAGTCAGCTTTCTTTGGTGTGCGAGCGTGCCACTGCTAGTAATAAAAATTCTAGCAGACTTAGTTTGGAATGGATAACTTGCGCCCCAAGTTACTGATTTCTGCAAACAAACGATTGTGAATTTGGGTGAGGAATATCTCCCAAGTAAGTTCTTTTCTCGCCTCAGACTGGTGAGGACTTTAACAATTTATCTCAGTATAAAGAGGTTGTTCTGGCCAGAATGGTTGATGGAATTTAAACTGTTTCAGGCAGAACTGATGG